CAGAACTCAAAAGAGTGATCTGCAGTAGTAATCTGCAGGCAATGATATTAGAAGTTGGAAGGATATTTACCTGAACTTCTAATGGAGCAATAAATTACTCCCAAAGTTGCACTTAGAAAGATAAAACAATCAAGACGAGTGAGTTAGTTAAAGAATTAGTTTTAGCATCTCATATTATATGTACAGTTTACAAATGTTTAATAAAGCATATGTAACTAGCCTGACAGAGGACAAAAAAAAAAAATAAGTAAAATTTTTTTAACTAGGCATAGCTGTTGAAAGATATTCGAAATTATATAATAAGATTAAAAAGTCATATAAGAATCTGGGATCCACTATTAGTCATTCTATTTTACACAGGTAGATATAAAATCAAGATCAAAAGAAAGGAAGTATTGAGTAAGATATTGAATTTGAGTATGCAATAAGTATCTCAGACAGTTATAAGAAAATAATCATAAGTATGAATGGATAAGTTCTTTAGCCAGTTAGAAAGAAGAAGGATATTCCAAAAAGGTTGATTCTTAATAAGAAGAGGTTTTTAACAAAGGTCCTTTGAAGGATATAAAGTATTTTTATTTTTTCTTTTTCTCTTTTCATTTTATATAACACAATTATGCATTTTTAAATATACTTTTTTTTTTGTAGTTTCTCAAAATCAATTTCTTGGAGGATAATAAGCAGTAACAACCTGCTAACAATAATATATAAATTAAAAGGATATTTATCTAAAATCTATTGTGGAATAAATTATTGTTCCCAAGATTGTATTTAAAGATTAAAGCTTTTTTAAGAATTGAAAGCCATTGACAAGTAAGTTAGTATAAGTTTTAGTTTAGTCATAATGCAATTGTCTTATGTATCTCTATTAGTTTTCATATTAATTAATAAACATATAGTGCTGGCCTGACTATGGGTTTAAAAAAAAATGTTAATATTTATAGATATCTTTTTATAAGAGAAAGTGAAATCTTTACCTATATACATAATATATCTATCAAATTATGAGGATCAAAAAAACAATATTTGCAAGAAGAGAAAGTTATAGTGATGAACAGTTTCTTTTTAACTATACCATACATATATTTCTTAAGATATAACCTCAAGTATATAAAAAAAAAATAAAAGAATATGATCTATTTCAGCTAAATGACAATAAATATGATACTATTGACAAAGAAATTACAGTTTTTTTTGATAATAAAAAAATATATTTAAACCATCCTTTAGGTTTATGTGAAACCTATATAGCCTGGAAATACAACAAATTTGTTTATACTAATCTCAATTTTTTGGATTATGTGATTGTAACTATTTGCCTAAGAGAAACATAACTTGTTAATAATAAAGAATTTGCCTATAGTGGGAGAGATTTTGATGGAGTCAATTTTTATATGATTATATGGGAAATTAAAGTTGAAATGACTAATATTTTTTAAATATTGCAAATTATTTAAAATTTAAGTTATTAACAAATTAAAATTGTTATAATTTTTACTAGAAAATATTCTTTATTACTAGTTAAAAAATAAAATGCATGATAATATAATATTGTTGATCGAAAATATAACTTGTAGATTGTTTCAAAACTTGATCAAAAAATAGTATCAGCTATAAAAAAATGGAAAGAAGATAAAAAAGAAGAATATTGTATGAATTATTGATACAATCAATTATCAACAGATCAATATGCTTCACAAGTACTTAAAATATTGATAATAAAAAATAAGATACTGACTATAGTGAGAAGCATATTAATATAGAAATAAATGAATGATCATAGATAGAATAGATGTATTTATTTTAAATTTAATAAAATGAAATTTTTAAAATTTAAAGTTAAAAAATATTTCTGAAAATAAATATATTAGTTAAAAATTTTTTATTAAAATAAAGCTTAATTTAAAATGAATCAAATTAGATTCAAGTTGACTTTGAATTGAATCTGATCGAATCAAATTAGATTGAATTAAATTAGATCAAATTGTTATGATTTCAAATTGAATTAAATCAATTTAAAACAAATCAAATCCATATCTAATTCATATTTATAAAAACTGAATCAAATCGAATCTAGTTAAAATCCAATTGAATTCAATTAGTTGCAATCACTAACTGTAAATATTCAATATATATACAATAAAGATATGCCATGTTAACCTGACTGTGAGTTAAAAAAAAAGTAATTAATATCAGTTGCCTTTGCTTTCTAAGAAACAGTTATCTATATAGATAAGTTAGCATTAAAATAATAATTAGTGTATTCAAAAAAAAATGAAAACGTCGAATTACATAAAATAAATATTATTAAATAAGTAGTATAAAAAGTCGAGTTTTGAATTAAAATAAACAACAATTTATTTACCACAATAAAATAAGATCAGGAAATTGGAATTATCAAGGTCTATAAACCCATTCGTAATACCGATAATTTTGGATTCCATTAAAATCATCCAATCCCTTTTGATTCTGTACTTTTTTCAAAATCAGTCCTCGCTCAATCATATTTCGTTCAAACAGCTCAACCTCCTTGGCATGTGTGGTGCGGAGTGGAATCTCTAGATAGAAAATCCCATCGGTTTTCATAAATTTGATAATCACTTCGGGTATCCAATCGGTGTGTGGAATTTCATACACAATGTCCGCTCCTAAAATGATATCAAATTTTTGATGCAACAAATAAGAGGGTAAATTTTCGAAATTTCCACTTGCGATCTCTTTCCAATCCAGTTTTTCCATGCTCACAGCGACACTCAATTGATTTATCTTAATATTGTGATCAATGTTGGTGAGAACATGTGGATGGTAATCGGTCAACAGCACATTTGAACACCCCATTTTTGCGCAGGTCAGGCCGACCAGCCCAGTTCCAGCTCCAATTTCGAGAATTGAATTTGACACCAGTTTTTCCCGTGTGATAGATTCCCCTGACGTAAAACGTCTATAATTGATCACAGATTAGCTAAGATTACAAAGTTCTTGTTTCCTTTATATATAAAAAAAAAAAAAAAAAAAAATTAAGACCGGACTTTACTTGGCTAAAAGATAGGCAGCACCCCATGTCTTGAACCCGACATTGTCATCGAGTAAAGTTGAATCACGGATCTTTAAAACTATAGAATTGTGACTGCCCGTTGGTGGCGGAAAACACCATTCTCTAATGATCGGACCCGATGCTATGCATTATAAGATCAAGGTTAACTTTAGGTATAATTGTCGCATAATAAGAATAAACTTGCCAACTTTTCCACAGGCGTTTGCAATACACTTTGCAGCTCGATCCATTATCTCTTCTTTTTGAAAGTCATCGTATATCCAATCTAAGGGAGATGCTACAAGTTTTGTTAACCATTCGATCGCATCTTTCTGATTTACTGGTGAACTCTCTTCAAAGCGGTCGAGAGAATAACTTTCCCAGACCGGTTTCGTTTCTTTATCAAGAAAAATGTGTTCTAATTTCTTTAATACCGAGCATAGGACTTGGAAGTTGGGTCTTTCCTTACGAATCAGGGGAAGATATAAGAAGTCACGATCAATTTTCTCCGATGGCTCCTCGAACATCAGGGATAAAAGGGATTTTTTAACGCATTGGTTTGTGAAATCGGTAGCACAGGCCTGTGATATTTAGGCGTGCGTATCACAACTTCAAATCTGATGTTGCTTCGTTATTTTAAAAATAGTTTTTATCGGCCTAAAAGAAATATAGTGTTTCTTTGTAACATGGCTGAACGAAAAGATGTGGCAGGTATTTAGTTAAGATATTGGGTTTAAAATGGAAAGTGTTTGTTGGAATAATTTATCGAAATCTTTAGAAATAGGAATTCTCCGACCTGTGGTTGTATCAGGCCCATCAGGTATAATTCAGCGTGCTTTGTTTAATCATATTTCTCTCACTATTATTCGGAATAACCTTCGAAAACGATCATATTGCAGGTTCCGGGAAATCGACTTTGCTTAAACGTCTTTTTCAAGAATATCCGGACAAATTTGGATACAGTGTATCATGTAATTTCGTTAGTGAATTCTTTTGGATTAGCGTTAAGAAAGGGTTAATTAACGATTATGGATTCCATTAGATACCACACGTTCACCGCGTACTGGCGAAAAAGACGGAGTCCATTACAACTTTGTAACACGAGAACGATTTGAAAAGCTTATCGAACAGAACAAGCTCATAGAATACACGCAATTTTCAAATAACTTGTATGGCACTGGTATCGATGCCGTACATAACGTCACAAAGCAAGGAAAAGTTTGCATCCTGGACATTGAACTGGAGGTAATTACACCGCTAACATTACAATATTATTGCAGATCATTTTGATGAAAAATTTCTGCCTACTTTAAATCACTTTATAGGGAGTGAAGGCAGTTAAGAAAACGGATCTCGATGTGCGTTTCCTCTTTGTTAAGCCACCATCTCTCGAAATTCTCGAACGCCGTCTTCGAGATCGTGGCACTGAGTCGGAAGAGGCGATACAATCACGCCTCGAAGCCGCAAAGAAAGAGCTGGCATATGCGGATGAAAAAGGCTCGCACGACCTGATTGTTGTAAATGATGATTTAGATGTCGCTTACGAACAATTCCGGAATTTCATTGTTGATGGAACCATCCCTGATATAAAATGAATACCGACCTGTTGTTTCCTAACTCGTATCCAACTATCACTATCATTATTATTATCTTTTTGGACATCGTTGCTTTACATTAAACAAATGAAATATCTTAATGCAATAATAAATGTTTTAATTGAAAATTTATCACGTTCGCTCAAAATTTGATATTTAATTTATGCTCCATCGATGCATGCACATCCATCTGTTCAGTTGATAATTCTGGGTCTATAATATGATCATATAGAAATTTCAGCAGGTCGATTTGAATAAATATTTCACAGCAAAAAGGAATGTGAATTACCGTTCAAGAAATCCTCGAAATCAATGGTTTCGTCTTTACCCATTAAAATCTCCAAGCCGAAATTGGAGGAAGGTAATACTGGTAAACGTTGCACCTAAAGCGATATGATATACATATTAGAGGGAAGTAACGAAGTACAGCTAAAATTAAAAAATCCATTACCTTGGATACAATACTTCGCTCCATAAGATGCCTCACCGGTGCATGAATACCATAAATTCTTCTTTGCAACGTCAAATTCAAGTTCGTTTGCGTTTCTTCCCATATTCGTTTTGACTGACCCTTAGAAAATAAGCTATCCCGTGCTTCGTCACTCCAGTCAGTCACCAAATTAGATAATAGTGACGAGTCATTTTTTTCATCATATTTTTCCAAGGAATGTTCGATGATAGAGGCCAGATCTTCTAGCGTACCGACCTTTAACTTTGGCCGTTTCCTTTGAGCCTTTGGACCAAATGTATCGGCAAACGGTTCCGTATCTATCATGTGCATTCGCGCCATCTAAAGACCAGATGATTCATGTAAAAATTATAGAATCACATGATCTTTAACAATTCCTCAAAAACCAACCTTGGTTGCATCAGCCAATAAACTCATCGGCAATTTATTTTGTCGGAGCAACACTTGATACGGATCATCGACTTTTGCACCTAGACTGTCCCGGAATGCTTCCAACTGCTTTTGTCCTATGACTCTAGTGTTTCCTATGTCAGTCCGAGGATTCAAAAGTTCATACGAAGAAAATTTAATGTCAATAACCAATTATCTAATTGGCGTAAATCAAATGAAATTTTCTAACTCACCGAACCACCGCCTATCCGGTTGTACTCTAGCTGTGATGATCTCACGACTTTGATATGGTGCCGACTTAACGATCTTTCCTTTTGCATTCCTTATTGCTTTACCTCCTTTAAGCATATTAACGAACTTGACCTTCTTTGCATCCCTGTAAAAATTCACCCCCTTGACCTTTAAATTATTCCCCGCTGACGAATCGGCCTTTCCATTCTGACTTTTTTCCCGGGCAATTCTATTCTTCTCTTTTTTTGCTTTTCCCATTTCGACGAAAGATAAAAAGCGTCTTCTTTTATACAATACGGTATATAAGAGAAAAAAAATTTCGAGAATCTAAGATCTTTGTGTGACCGAAATTGATTACATAATCACATCGATACGACTATAAAGTCTACGTGCACATATGCCCCCGTTCACCGCAACCGAATTTACAATATGGTATTGATTAATAATGTTCAGATTAGATTGAATGTCAAACTATTATTCCTAACTCAAGTCTACTCTTTTTGATGGACAACGCAGTCTCTCCGCATAGTTCCTTCGACGGTTCTATAACAAAAAGGGATCCTGACTTCTCTTATGGCTTCAAAGGCAATAACTCAAATGTTCCCAAAATAAGAATTACCGTAACCCAAGTGGGAACAAGGTCACACTTGTTTAACAAAAAAATTAGGTGCTTATGGCA